AAAATGCTCGGAGAACTACCTGTTCTAGTCACGTGTTCTAGTACGTGGGTTCTAATCACGTGTTCTAGTCACGTGGGTTCTAATCACGTGTTCTAGTCACGTGGGTTCTAATCACGTGGGTCTGACTCCTACATAGACGTAAGCTAGTGGTGTGAACACCACATGATCATGTGTAATGTGTATATGGTGGGGATAGTACACCCAGTGGACACATTATATTAGCCTCATGTCGATATATCCTGTTAATCATGATTTAGTCATGAACGGAGACTATTCCATAGTATTAGATATGCTCTAGATATTATCTTACATACATTATACAATGCAAGACTTTATTTATCTTAATCAGAAGAAAATTATCTCATATTCGTATTATATAAAAAAAGATACTAAGAAAATCATTCCTAATCGCACGCACGCACGCACGCACGCACGCACGCACGCACGCACGCACGCACAAAACTATCGAGAGTCTGTTTAAATGTGTTGTGATACGGCAAGTGTATTCTGTTTTCCAATTAATGCACAATACAAGCCACACAGCACACTGGCCACACTTATTATATATTATTATTATTAAATATTCTGCCTCTACAAAATAGACCCACATCAACCCCAAAGACCCCTTGTCCAGGGGGGTCTGGCCATCTTGTGACACCCTTTGTGACACCCCTGGCCCTCTTGTCACACATATTCGAGACCATGCTCTGGTTGACGACACCACATACAGCGGATTATTCTAGTGCTGGTTGACCACTGCAATCTGCATAATGGCTCCTACTTGTATACAAAAAGCATTTTGTCTGAATATTTCTTTGCATTTGGTAATATTTCTTTGCATTTGTGTCCTAGATTTCGCAGGAGGTTTCAAAATAGGATACAATATGTGTTGCAAGCGTGGTATAGTTTCTCAATAACCCTCTGATGACTGATAGGCACCTCATACAGTTGTTTATTTCACTACTGATTGGGTGCTGTCTCCGGTTTAGTTAGACAATAGAGCAATAAAACTAATAAACTTCCGTATACAGTCCATAGATTTGCCATCATGTCACACGAAAAGTAGGCGTGACTAGTACATATAATATGTAATATAATAGCTAGTAGCTATAGGTCTGTATGTGTCATATTCTCGATTCTCATATTGAGTAGATACTATAATACCATGATATAAAAGATAGAAGGCAGATCGATAGTCGCATGTATTAGACAATACATTATTACCATATTTTTGTGGCAAAGTATAATGCTGCAGATCAGCAATATCCAAGTCACAATACATGCCAGTGCGTGGGCAGTGTATATTAACAATTTGTTTGACGAACCTAAACTGTCAAGATGCCAGCAACGTAATATACAATGTGTACCTATATAATATCTACATGATAACATGTAATAGTGACGCATTTGCTGACTTGACGGTATGTTCATCTAGACAGATTCCTAAAAGTCAAGATTGTGTGTTGAAATTTAGGTCGCTGTCGGCCGTCGGGTCAGGTTACCATATATTATGATAATATCTGGAGTGTGTGTGTGTGTGTGTGTGTGTGTGTGTGTGTGTGTGTGTGTGTGTGTGTGTGTGTGTGTGTGTGTGTGTGTGTGTGTGTGTGTGTGTGTGTGTGTGTGTGACCTGCGTGTGTGTAACAGGATCGTACAAATGTTAAATAATGATGTTCACAACACCACTAGTAAAAGTTAAATATCAAGTTTAAAATTTAAATCTTGATATTATCAATGATCTAGAATCCTAATAATTGATCATTGGTAATCTCCCTAATCAGCCTCTAATCGTGGGACGTATCAAGCGTGTAGGTATTATAACATTGATTTCTTGATGTAACAATGATTGTAGAGCTTCATACTCTTTTCTACTGCTTCTGTACTGTTGGCCGTGTCCACGGATGTGGCATTTCCATAAAAGTTTAGGGATTATTGGCATTCGAAATGTATCCAGCATAATTTTATTGTTGTATTGCGACATGACACATTTACAACTTTTAACTTTAATTTTTCGATCCATGGGCAAATAAAACGTTTCAAGATTATGATTAAAGCAATATAATATGATTGCGATCTGAATGTCCAATCATTATTTCGCACGATAGTCTGAAATATGCCTAATTTCTATCTACAGCAATCATCCTCGGCCCGCAATTCACTCAGTATTTCTTATCGTCTAAGTAACCATACAAATGCACTCAAAATATATCATATATCAGATACCAGTTCCATTGCGACTTTACTATTATAATTGCCATTCTATCATTCCCTGAAATGTCTACTTCAGCGATAATTCAACAGCGTGTGCTGTAGCCGGGCTTACAAAGTCACGCTTTTTCTTTTCAAAGTCGATCCATCACAAAAAAACATTATGTCATATTTATATTCGGTCTCCGAGATCAAACAGAAAGTCTTTAAATCTTTGAAACAATAAATGATGGGAACTGGACATTGATGGTGATTTAAAGAAGCCTGTTGTCACGTGACATAATGGGCCCAATGATCGGGAAACCACCTGACCAGCGCATTATATTGAGCTTTGGTCCTTATTGTAAGAGAGTAGAGAGTATTATATAGTGAAAATAAGATATTCTCGTGAAATTTAAAACGCACCCTCAAACTCCACCCTCACTTTATTTAAATATCTTTGGCTTCCAATACTTCATTGACCCGTCTGGTTATTGAAGTAGATATTTTTATTTACCACCCCTGGATTTTGGATGATTGTACAAGCATTCGCTGTTTCCTCCAGTTACACAGAGAATTATTTAATAATTGGTTAATATAAATAATCCTGGGTGTTAATCTGATTAATTAACAAGCTCATAAATGATAACTTATGTAATACACGCAATTCTCTACATTGAATTGTTTAATTGTACTGCCATGTCATGGTCACGTGACATGATGAAGTGAGCTCCCAAGTGACAACTTAAGTATGCACGACCTGTCACTTTCCACTTAGATGGTTATTTTCGCCTGCTTTTTCTGATAACTATGGTTATTTGAGACAGAAAATGACTTTTAAAATTTATTTCACCACGCGCAAGTTCTTTCAAATTTTGGAAAGCTTTCATTTAATGAGATCACTGAGAGTGAAATCGTAATTTATTCAAGTCTCATTGATTACTTTTATCAAGCAAGGACCCCAAATTATAGCGTCTTTGACCCCAAATTAAATCGGAGGAGGAAGTGTTGTCGGGTTCTGAGACCGTCACCAAAACATTTTACGCGAAATATGTTCATTTGAGATGATAAAGAATTTATTTCATCACGACGACCATTTTCTTAAAATTTAGGAAAGCTTTCATTGAGTGATATCACAGAGAATAACATTTGAATTTACTCAATTCTGACTAATGACTTTTGGCAAATGACTACACGGCAAAACATGTCACTATAAAAACCGCCTCCCCAACCGCCACATTTCCAGTGAGCTGTGTGTATTGTCTTCAAAGATTGGTCTAATAGTGCTTTAATGCACCTAGTTGTAGACAATGCCACAGAGAGCTGCCAGTCTACCCAAAGTGGAAATTATACGGCTCCAGAAAAAGCAATTTTCCTGCAAACTGCAGACTAAGGTTACTCCGAAGCTTTGTCAATTTGGTGTTATTATTATAACCTCCTGCATCAAACAACCTTCTTACCAATACCCCTCTATTAAATAGTCAAAGACTCTTAATGCACTTTTAATGCACATTGATATAAAGTATTATAAACAGTCTCAATACCAATCTACCACATGTACATTGTAGGTCAAATCTATCGATGCACTGTAAAATATCGTTCCAGTTTTGGAGAAAATATCTTGTCAACAGGTTGTATTGACTACACTCACAGGTTGCATTGACTACATCCATTTACTGGCTTCCCAGGAGAAAAGCATTGTTAAATACATTTCAATAAATTGTACAGTATAATTAATGAACAATAAACAATTTGTCATTTGAGACCTAATAATATTAAATAAATGCTAAACAATTGAAACAATTAACAAATGTTTCATAATTGCAATGTGGTCAGAACATTTCCTCAGATCATACACATCTGTGTTCCCCTGGAAACGGGCCAGGGGTATCATAATTTGATGGAAACAATATTCAGTGCAGGTGATGTTTAGTTCACTGTTCACTGCGAAGTTATTGTTACCATTCATAAATTGGGAGTTGGACTTTCTGTACCAAACTTTACCATGGTACAATATTTGACGAAAGTCGATTATCTCGAGATCTGACTGATAGATTTTCTTTTAACTTTCCAGATATAGATAGGTATGTGGCTATAAGACGGATAATCTGTGCAAGTTGGAGATATCACTTCAAACACAACAAAATATCTCCAAATCGGTACAATATATAACATATCTGGTTTCATGATAAATATATCATACATTAGGATCTGGACAAAATCGAAAATATATTCTAAGTTATTACTGAAACACTCGATTTTCGACCTTATGATATGGTACAGTTTCGACGAAAGTCCTTCTGTAAATTGGTTTATTTACCAACTTTGCGTCACGCGCATAGTACTTTAAATGGTAATTTGTGGGCTTTTTCAACACCTTCTGTAACATTAAGCCGCGCCGCGCGCACATGCGTACATTTAAATAAATAATTAATAGAGCTAAAAGTAGTCGTACACTTAAATGCTACATCGCATCAGAAACTCAAAGATATGAGTTGGCACAAAGTCATAGTCGTGCCAGGAAGGATCCTAATTTGAGAGCTATGAAGCAAACCCATGTGCAGGGTTTTCGTAGGGTTGCCAACTTGTCAGGGTCGTTGCCCGGCATACAATCATTAATTTAACCTACATCCCAATTTACAGCAAATATCAAGCCCGAAATTTGATTCGTTTCAGTTGGAAATTAGTAAGGTGACACCTTTATAGCTCTCTACATAGTTCTATTGATCACATTAAGTCTGCGGTAGATTATGTAAATAACTTAAATCTACAATTATACTCTCAAATCTACTCTTAATCTGTAATTATTTCAGTTGCCGGCTGGTATCCCAAGTTCAGTGACACTGCAACCTGTAAAGAACGACACCAGTAGTAAACCATGTGGGGTGGAGTACTGCCTAAAAACTTACGTCGCTAAGGACATGCACGAGCCCCCTGATAGAAAGTAAAATTATATGATATTTATTTTCAAGTCACTGGACCGAAATGACTTGTTTCCGAACATCTTTTTGTGGAATTGAGGAAATAGAAAGGTTCATGCAGTTACAATTTTATGTCAGCTCTAATTTCTAACTCTTGATCTAAAGACTGGTGATAACTAATATGCTCTTATCTGACAGGCAGGTTGTTGATCTGCTGATAAAGAAGATAACCCATGCTCCTGACACTCAGGCTCCTCAGCCCTACATCGAGTCAGCTAAGAACTTCATGATGAGTCCCAACCCTTTACATGTGGAGGCTAGACTCGATAAGGAGGTGAGAGATTTAAAAGTTTGTTTGAATGAGAGACTTCATTTTTTTCAGCAGGAAAAATATTGTCGCATTGAATTTGTTATCTTAGTGGTGATATTTAATATTCAAAATCTTAACTTTTCGTTTCTTCAGCGATATATACACGGTGAACCGATCTACGTTCACATAACGATGGGTAACCAGTCGACGAGAGCAGTGAAAAAGCTAAGACTATCCGTAAAACAAGTGGCTAATATCTGTCTCTTCTCCAATGCTATCTACAAGTGTACAGTCGCTTCCGTTGAACATGAGTAAGTGTAACAAATTTAACATACTTTGCAGAGCAGACTGAAAGGATATGCACATTTATCTTCAACTCTCACCCCGCGGTACTCATCATCACTAATACAGCAAAATGTTCATCAAAACTTACATGATTACAAACAAAATTAACTGTCTTCTCTCAGTTTAAATGTGCAGCCGAGCCAGACGATCGCCCAAACCTTCTCAATACGACCTCTCCTCGAGGATAACCGAGACAAAAGAGGGTTAGCTCTGGACGGTCAGATTAAGAGTGAGGATACAAACCTTGCCTCATCAACCATGTTAGTAAGAGTTACTTAGAGTTACGTAGAGTTTCTTAGAGTTACGTAGAGTCACTTAGAGTCACTTACAGTTACTTACAGTTACTTACAGTTACTTACAGTTACTTAGAGTTACTTAGAATTACGTAGAGTTACCGAAAGTTACTGAGAGTTACACTTACTAAGAGTTACTACATACTTGGAGTTTCTTAGAACGAGTTACAGGAATAAAGTAAATAAAAACAGAAGTGAATACCTTGTAATTGTATTTACGATTGTTTTTATTTCCTCTTGAATCACATGCATTTTATCTTCCCGCAGTGATCTTAACTTCTTAGCAAGAACAGGATATAGCATTGAGGTTTTACAAACGTATCCATACTTACATTCAAAATATTTTATCAGGAGCTTTTTAGATATTATGTTAAAATCTAGATAGGTATTTACCTCCCTTGGCCCCTGCCCCAGGCATCTAGGCGGGGGCGGTCAAGCCTCTACACAAAACTCAATAGCAAGGGGAGGACTGGAGGCGATGGTTACTCTGACGAAGTAAGCCCGGTAGGCTGTGTCCATGAGGAATCTGAACACTCAAAACATACACTCATTTCACTGGCCAGCGAGGATGATGTATGACATGCCAGAGCGTATCATTGCATACCTAACTACGCTACTGTAATCTAGTGCATGATTTAGTTTTGATTTTGTTTGGCACGACTCTCGCTACTTCTGTTTGATGCTATTCAGTAACTGCAATTTGGAGTCGCTACCTGATGGTTTTAGTTTCTTCGCTTAACTTTACTTCCAGCTTAACTTTACTTCCAGTTTAACTTTACTTCCAGTCCAGTACTTATTTTTTCCTTTTCACCCTTTTGAAAAAAGGCAATAGTGAAAGGTTACGAATGGAGGTTTTTGCAGAAAAACGTGGATTTTGGAGATTGCAGTAGCTAGGTGGGTCTGAGTATGTCGTCAGTCCTTCCTTACGTCCGTTACCATGCAACGAAAAATTTGCGCGCGCGCGAGGATTGCTTGCGGAGATGTGATGTATAGATAGCCTGTGATCTATGAATGCGCGGCGCAACTGTGTTTTAATGTATACGATTTAATGTATAATATTAGGTTATAAGCCCAATTTGTACGTGGCACGCGTAGTGTATTGATGTGTACACGAGTATAGTTTACCTTTGCTTACAATTTAAGTTCTTTGCTTTACAAGTTAAGTTCTTTGGCAATTGAACTGAATTTCAAGTGTTTCCTGTACTTACTACATAATTTATTAATATTATTATCATGAAGACTGAAGTGAGCTGATCGGAGCTTATACTTAAATTTATGGTAAATGTGAAATGGAAATCTAGCGTCCGCCAAAACGAAACAACGGGCGCAATTCTTGTTCTGAGTTAGAGTTTGAAAATTTAATTTAATTTGGTCAGGTATTACTGCCACAGTCAAATGTTGTTCCAATTAGCAGCTTAGTAGCTCCCAGCTGAATCTCTGAATAAAACTTGTCGCATAAGATGGGGGTCCAATTAATTAGATCAAATTATAAATTGGAAAAAAAACTGTAAAAAATGTAGTTGATTTTAAAAACCTCAATAGACAAAAATGTCAAGAATGTAGAAAACATATAAAACTGGCCTGGAATAATAGACCATGCTAGATCTTGCTGCACCTCTAAAATATTGGTGGCCCTCTCTTTAGCTGGCCGCAGACTTCATAATCCATGAGTCATGTTTTGGAATGAGGGAATTAATACAGTAAACTCCATTTTCAGAGCGCTACCCATCGCGAACAGAGAAGCACTGGGAATAGTGGTGAAGTACATCGTGAAGATAGAGTTATTTGTATCTATGGGAGGGTAAGTTGGTTCGTTAGTATCTGTTTCAGTGCCAATCATTCAGAGACACATTGTAACCCTTCTTCTGGTCATTGATTCTGAGTCATAATATGTAATCCTTGCTACTTTGAGGAACCGCCACGAATTGTAGCTGTAGTAATGAATATTGTATGATAGTTTCAACCTGTTTTGACAAAAAACCAATCAGAGAGTTGAAGCTGGAGTTACCGTTCACACTGTCCCATCCTATCCCTGAACATTACGAGGAAGATATGGAGCCCCCTCCTCAACCCACCGACGCCAACGCCGACAATATCAACCTAGAACTAGATGAAACTGGTGTGTTTTTATCCGATTATTTCATTGAAAGTCTTCAAAACGCCCGTTGAAATCCTAACATTTAACCCATCAATGATTAACAATACCGCATCTCAATCTTTGCATAAGAAAATGATCGTATCTGTTTCAGGTGCATACAACAACACCTTGTTATCGGCCCAGGCAGAGTAAGTGCTTAAACTGAAACCTAACTTTTGATTTGCCAGTCAGATTTTCAGCTTTCATTTTTTGCATGCCTTCAATTGTTATCATCATCGGGAATTATGAACGATTTTTTGTTTGTATTGTAGATTTTACGAACTGCTTTTACACCAGTTCATTATCAAGGTCCGAGTCCCAAGTCACTCCAAGTTCAACAACAAACGAACACTCGTCTATTGAGCCTGATATAATTATCTTGAACGGAGTACCACCTCATGTTATGCCCAGTGCACCAGAACTTTCCACTTTTCAAAAACTTCACATGAAGGAATCAAGTCTATTTGAACCATCACTTTAATGATCCCAGACTATATCGTCGTGATTCCATAAATTCGTATCGAGTAAGTTAAAAAGCATCTCATCTCGAACGGTGAATATAACTAAAAGCAGGACACTAAGAAAAACATTTAAAAAAAACACTTGAAATCACTCAAGCACTAGACAGTAGACAGCCACAAGGAAATACTCTCTCTTCTTTACATTGTCACACAATGCACAAGTTGAACCCAAGGAAATATTTTCTGACCACCTCTTTAGTCACGACGACCCCCTGATCGACCTGGAAGCAGCGCCGTTACATGACGGTGGCGCAAACAGCAGCACCGGTGAGACAGCACAACCGTCCTTGCTGTAAATCATGTGAATAACTCCCCTGATCCGCGCACTCGGTAATTGTGTGACGTATTACAGTTAGCGCTAACGTGCAAGTGCTAATCTCTAGTGCTTATCCTCCTCGCAAGTGCAATTGTTTTGCGAGTGCACCCGAGTTTGATCTTCTGAAAAAGCATGATGCTACTGCTTTCAAAAAAATACCGCTACCAACACTTAGAATAGAACGCTGAAATTATACACCGCTACGATGTAGAATATGCCTGAATAAAAGAGAGAAGCGAAGTTTATAGTGATGGTATTTAAGACGCTGCTGAAAGCACTTTTAATTAATCCAGCACAAGAATAAACATACTCGCAGTAGCACTAGCATGGTTTTGTTGTGAGTTTTTCTTCTGTGTACGTGACTTTCTCGGTTCACTATACAGCTATACTGTAACTTCTTAGTTAGCAAATGTGGTTATCCCTTAGTTTTATAGCATGTGTCGAATGAATCTTGTCAGAATTGTAGAATTTAATGTTTTACGTTAATAATCGTTAGATAAGTGTTTATTTGTATGCAGTCGTTTAAGGGTATTTTCGGGACAGGATTTTTCTGATACCAGATCTTGCCTTTGGAGACGACGTTAAAGAAAGATGTCGGCGTTCGAATTTAGAGACTTTTATAATGCAGGTTGCTTTCATGCCATGCAATTTTAGTAAAAGTCTTGAGTGATGCTTAATATTTTGTAAATTTCATAATTCAAGTAATTTGGATTTGAAGTAATTTAGACGTCAGTGGCAGGGTATTCAGTGAACCAAACACAATCTAGTATTGACAGAGAGCCAGTCTGCGAGAAGCATTTAAGTGGCGGAGCAAAGATGTGCAGTATATTTCCTTGACAGTCTACGAAGCAATTCGAAAACTGAATTCTTGCACAGAGTTCTTCTACAATCTACAATCCTGCAACACTGCTGAACAATCTAAAAAATTTTGTCCCTGAAAAAAAAACCACATGCGATTAAAACAATTGGATGTTTTTTCACTTTTGGCCACTCGTTACTAATACTAATTATCTCATCCTTTTCAGCGACCAATTACTGATCGACTTCGAAAGTGACACGTTGACTTCAAAAGAGACTGACGCTTAGTTACTCTATTTTTTCCTTCAACCATCTCCTTCCCACTGATCATCATTTTACTTCTCGGGCCAGGGGTGCATATTCTGATTATAGACCGAATCATGTACTGAGAAATATTAGGAGTGAGTTTTAGTGTTGAGTTTTACTGCAAGCTACGCGATTCTATTTTTCCATCTATATATTTGATAGAAAATTATATTGGTTGCAGTTTCTTTTTACTTGGTGCCACTATTCCCGTGGCTTGGTTTACGGAAATCAGATCGGAATATGGTTTCGGTTTATTTCTTCTGCTCTGATTTGGAAACGCAACAAGCCAACCGGAACAGGTTCAACCTTTCTATTTTAGATACAGTCCTCTTTCGGATAATCTTAATCAATTTAAACACAAATTCGAATGATCACTTTAAATGACTTTATGCTTAAACATAGCGTTTATGGCATGATCCTATTATGGTAATTATTGAGAGACATAAAGGCCCGGTTGCGGTTGGCTACTTTGGTTTATTTCACCTTGATTGCTGTTTTTACCATCATTTTATGAATATGAGAAGGACTTAGAACACAGACTGAATAAGTTCTATTCTGCTGTTCGGTTCTGCGCGCAGCACTTTTCGTGCGTGCCAGGAACGCGCAGCATAAGACCTATCATTCTGACTTCTGTCGACATACTATAATCATATAATGTTTGTTACAGTCCGACTTATTCGCTTAGAGTTATTTTACTCCATCATCAATATTTCTGTTGGTGATTTTCAATTTTAAAAGGCTGGACGTTTATGTAAATTAGATGAATTCGATCATCATTATCAAACTCAAAGTCAAAGGATGGAACGCAATTTTATATTCTATCGTAAAGTCAAAATAACATCAGTGCGAAATTACATTTGAATATATTATATATGCTGCCAGTTTTACTAGATTCGGTTAATTCATTAATTAATCGATTGAAAGAATCTGAGATATAGTTATTTCTGTAAATATATGCAAAGATCAAGCAATGGTAATAGCGAAATTGTGGTTACACCAATTTGTAAATTGTCATAATTAGGGGTCGCTGACCCCCTTGCTTTACAGTTATTTAAAAGAACTTGAGTGGGATTTAACAATGCGATATATTTCGAATTACAGAGTTTGATTGTCGTTGATGAGCCTAAGAGAGCTTAGCCGTTCATTGGGGGAGAATTTTGTTCTTATTTTGAATCTTAGCGAAGTCAATCTTTTAATACTTTTAGTGATGATTCGATTACAATTTTACTTCAAAATGTTTCGACACTGACTGGTTTATCTTTGAGCTCCATTGATTTTGCTACGGCTACTTTGGGATAGTTGCTGGTAATGCAACAGCGATTTCTATCTCAAATTGAGGAATTATGTGTTCACCGCTTAACTTTTGCTAGTTTTACCTTCCTAGATTGTTCTGAAATTTCATTGGTGTTTGATTGTATATATCAAAGAATCGGCATCATTCAGCGGAATAACAAGAGTTGAATTTGATTGCTATATTTGTAGAATGATGATATAATCATAATTACTATTAACGAAACTAATTTGCCAATTGAACGAATTTTTGAACTGAATATTTGTTATACCATCATCAAATTTACGAACTGCATGTTCACTGTTCAATAACGAATAATAATCATTTAATTTTCATTTGAAAAGTTAGTTTTTGAGCAATTCACTGTGAGATCATATTCGTGCATTATTATTATTCAAATTGACATTTAAGTTTAGCCGATGGTTGCTTAGATAGATGTTAGATCTTCGATTATTAAAAAATGCAACTACGAAATTATATATTTTGACTCCTGTTCTGTTATTTTAATTTTAACTATTTGATCCAAACTAAAAATCTTGACGCAGTTTTTTATTGTGAAGTCTGCTACATCAACATTGAACATGATATGTGCTAGTCATGTTTGTCCCTATATAAAAATGTTCAAATTGTATGCAGGAGCTCGGGTCTGTAATGTGTAGGTTATTAAATTTAACCTACAGGTAAGAGACCGCCCAACGACTGCTAGTATGTAGTAGTAGTTTTCGAAAGCGCGTCGAATGAATTCATGCTTTGTCAATTCTAAGCTAGGCTTTTACTAATTCGCTCGCCCAAAAATTATCACGTGACTTTGGTTTTTATGGTTTTGCAGCCGAACAAAACGGTTTTACATAAACCCTAATCCTAACCCTAGCATTAATCCCAATATCCATAAACCTAAGTCTAGGGGGTGCACAATAAAAATAAACTTGCTCGGATTTTCAAAATTGTTGTACCATTGTATTTGTTTCCTAGAGACTGTGAGGATTTTCACAGTACCAGATTTTTCATACCTTTTTGGAATGATCAGTGAGTTTCGCCTAGAGTGCCATATTTGATGGTGCGCGGCTTTTGGAGCAAAAGTAGGTGTAAACGTTTCATAATTCAACGAAATTCGTTGATTTTTGTCGTATTATTCTGTCATATCTTCGGTTCCTTGAATGAGATCATTCTGAAGATTTGTGAATACCTTCCAATACAATAGGGCTTTCACAACTGTCCGAAAAATTTTGTGGATATCGGAGTTGATATAGTATTAGTAATGAAAATGGGGCAAAATACGCTGCTTTTAGCTGTAAGTGTAACATAATGTCTGAGGGTTTGATTTGCTTTAAATTTTTCGGACACTTTCCTTGTACGGTAAGTCTATCAGTAAGCTAACCAATTTTTGTTAAAATTGGATCAAGGGAAGGTTACTCAATACGCTTTTGTTTCAAGAATTTTGTGCTGGAAAACCATCCTACAGTCGGCCCTTTAGGCATGAAAGTGATCTGGATCGGTGTATTTTTGGACGCTGATTCCGAATCACCCCCCCCCCCCCCCCCCCCCCATGACGTAGGGTTAAAATGCTTCCCTGGAGAGTTATGGGCAAAAAACCGTTTTGGTCACGTGACAGGCTAGTAAAACGTGAATTCGATTATTTAGGGCTCGGGTTAGGGTTAGGGTTGTGGTTAAGATTATGGATAGCTTCGGGGTTATGGTTAGGGTTGGGATTATGGTTTATGTCAAACCGTTTTGTACGGCTGCAAAACCAAAAAAAACCAAAGTCACGTGAAATTTTTGGGCGAGCGATTTAGTAAGCGATATAGTAAGAGCCGCGGCTCACTGTCGATGGCGCACTACTTACTAAGTCTAACCATAACCCGAACAATAAACAATAAACTTCGTGTTTTACTAGCCTGTCACGTGATCAAAACAGTTTTTCCCATAACTTTCCAGGGCACAGGGAAGCATTTTAACCCTATACTAAGTCATGGGGGGAGGGGGGGTGATTCGAAATCAGCGTCCAAAAATACACCGAACAAGATTACTTTTATACTTTCAGGGCCTTTTCACAAGATTTTTTTTAATTTGGGCGATCAGCGATTTAGTGAGAACGGACTTGCTCTAACCAAATAAAAGCCCTCTCGCTTGCAGTAGCGCATGACGCACTTGAAACAAGCGCGTCATGCAGTACGCGTATACACATGGCTATGTCATGTATGTGAAGGAGCGGACCAGCTATGCGTTCGCGTAATACTCAATACTCGGCGGCGCTCACAGCTCAGCCTGTCACTCCACCATACTTTGCTACACAATCACCTTGTATACCTATTTGCTCTTGTATTTTCGCCGTGCACGAAAAGGGGTTGTTAACGGGTGATACTCGTTAAATATTTGTTTCAAACATTTCTACCAAGACCGTCGACAAGTCAATGGTGAAATTCGGCGCGCGTCTTGGTAGGTTATAAACTTACAAAGGGGTTGCAACGCCTGCTCTATCCAGAGCCCTTGCGCTTGCAACGTGGCGCGCACGCCTCCCGCCTTGTGAAACAGGCGCCCGCAGTCATCAGTCATGGCGCGAAAGAATATGGTTAGGTGAATTGCAACGCGTATCAAGCTTCACATAACCACGTGCATACGCGTACTGCGTGACGCGCTTGTTTTACAAGCACAAAGCAGAATATACCTTCTTTGCCGCCTTCGGCGGCCGCGCGCTACTGCAAGCGAGAGGGCTCTGGTTAAAGCAAGTATCAAGCCATACTTGCTGCATTTAATTGACGATGTCAATTCTTCGCAGCTCGGCAAGGCCCAGTAGCGCATTTCGCCGATCTAGTTGCGAGAAGCATAATTGAGTGCGCGGCGCGGCTCAGTAACGCATCGCGCTACAATTGACAATATTAGCACTCAATCCTGAAATCCTTGTGTAGGCTATGCAGCGGTATGAACCACTTCGCAGAGCTTTATCGATATCCGGGGTCATATTTCGAAGAAAGTGCGCGCTACAGGTTCGGTTGTCCATACATCATATAATAGTTACGATCCTTTGTATCGTTTATGCTAGATTGTATATATAATATACACTAATCTTTTCTATAGCCGCCACGCGCGAGAAAAAGGTATACAACGCGAAGGTCTTAATTGACGATGTCAATTCAGCGCAGCTCGGCGAGTTATCTGGGGACATCAGGCTATTATCATTTCATATAGAGATTCGGCGGAATGACAGGCTGAGCGCGGCCCAGTAACTCGTTGTAGCGCGATGCACTACTGGGTCGCGCGCGCGCATCCAATAATGCTTCTCGCAACCACGTATGCAGATCGGCGAGATGCGAAGGATTGACATCGTGAATCAAAGTAACTCGGCGAGGCCCATGCAGTAGCGCATCTCGCCGATCTAGCGAGAAGCATCATTGTGAATTGAGTGCGCGGCGCAGCCCAATAACGCATCGCGCTACAATGTACAAGTAGACTCATGGCTATGTGAAACCATATGTCATGGAGGGTGATTAGGAATAAGTTGTATCACGTCATGACCCCCATTGTCGTTTCACTAGTATCGTGGCCACGATACAGCCGCGCACTCGATCTTGCACAGCATGTCTACAACTGACAAAGAATCGGCGTCCGAAAATACATCGATTCAAGTAGGTTCAACTGTCAAGGGCCCTTTTAGAAAAATCTCGAAGATCGACTGTAGATCTAGCACGCTCATGATCACGACGTGAGACAAGGAATCACCCCCATGTTGTAGGTTTATAACCTACCACGACGCGCGCCGAGTTGGACTCGTTGACGGTCCTGTTTGAAGCAAATATTTTAGGAGTATCACCCGTTGTACATTGTATGTTTACAACCTACCAGGACGCGCGCCGAGTTGGACTCGTCGACGGTCCTAATATTTGGAATAAATATTTTACGAGTATCACCCGTTAAATCACCCGTTATCCCCCATGACGTAGGGTGTAGGATAAAAATGCTTCCAGCTGGAGAGTTATGGGCAAAAACGGTTTTGCATTTTGGTCACTTGACAGGCTAGTAAAAGTAAAACACGAATTTCATTGTTTAGGGCTCGGGTTAGGGTTAGGGTTGTGGTTAGGGTTATAAATAGCTTCGGGGTTATGGTTAGGGTTTATGTCAAACCGTTTTTTCGGTTGCAAAACCAAAAAACAAAGTCACGTGATAATTTTTGGGCGAATTAGTAAAAGCCATTATGCATTATTATCAGGATATTGTAAAACTGAGGTGTGCAAACTAAACTTTCACATTTCAGTTATTGCAGTTTGTATTGGTCGTAGTTTGTATTGGTTTGTATTGGTTTGTATTGGTCGTCTTTAAGTTTAATTTTAATAGGACGTAGGTTCTAACTCATTACTTTTAATTTGACTGCTACTGCTAGTGCAAACTTCTAAAAATAAAAATGGGTATAGAGCTGATTCGTTAAACAAAAATTACATTTATTATATAGTTATACGCAGTGTGGAGAGCTCCAATTGCCAATGCCTCATTAACATTAACAATAACAATACCATTTGTAAACAAAAGTCTCGTCGTGCATGTATTTAAACTTAAACGTCAAGCAGGAGGTTTTGTCATCACTGACTTTTTGGAATCAAGACTTTTAGAATCAAAACTTTTAGAATCAAAATCAAAATCGGTTTTCGGGAAAGCATTTAGCTTTACGGTTTCCAACCAAATTGGAAAACTCAATTCTTGAGTGCATAAAATAGCATATGTCATATGTCTTGAAATATGTTGTAAGTAGAAGTTGTGACAATGTTACAACGATTCCTAGGTTAAACTTAAAGCTAAACGGAATTTCGGAAAATGGAAGAAATGCAAGTTGTACATGAATTCATTCTTCGTGCAACGCAACATTTAGTTTTACCGAAATTCCGCCAAGGGATCGCGCTAACTTATTTCGTAACTTAACTAGGCTATTATCATAGGAGGATGAGGTTTGTCAATGTTTACGCTAGTGTAATTACTCCACAATAGCTTAAGCTACGTGTAAAACGTGGTTACAGAGGGGAACCGGGGGTCTTAATGCCTAATTAGCAGCAAAATCGGGATTACGTCATATGTGAATGATCCCTCATATATGATAGGAAATATATTGTTTCGCTCACACTCATTTTATTTTTACTGCATTCAAAACTATGTTCAAGAAATAATAACACACACAGGATCAATGATATATCAATGAGGGTTTACTGGGCGGCGGCCGGCGCTCAGCCTGTCATTCCGCCATATCTTCAATCTTGTTTATCATGAACACTAAGCTTGGGGTCCCAGGTATACGAGGGTGCATGTTTAAGGTGAAAAAGAGCCCTCAGTTGCCTCAGAAGTGCAACTTAAACTGTAACTACCGCTGTCTAAACATGTCCTTCGTTGAAAAGACGGAACAGTTGCAGTAGTTAATTTCCCGCTTTTGACGATGTATGGACAGACAAACAGCCTTCCGGGCAGTTTCTCCGATCCGACAATGATCCTGTACTCTGAAACATGGACGAAGATCAAGCAATAGATTCAGATGGAATGTCGTTTTATATGACATAGTTACATCGAAGATTGTAACTAATTATTGAATATTGTAACTAATCGAAAAAGTTTCTATTTCTTTGTATTGTTTACCAATGAGTATCGAGTACCAATCTCAATGACATGTATACCATTTTTATCCGAAATCATGATTGAACTTAATGAGCTGCCCGAATTGTGAGCGACCCTAATTACTAGCAGTAGAGAGTAAATTGCTCTAACAAACAGGGCTGTCCATAAAATGACCGATATGATTGAAATTTACTCATAGAATTACAAATTTCAGATCAATTAAACGGTAAGTTCTAATTCTATGAACAACCCTACATGCCAGTTTTCAATATTGAAATTGATCTGAAGGTTTGAATTATTATTATGTATAGTTTGAAACTAGCAGTCCAAACCAGCAGTCCAAACTTTTCATCAGATGACTTCCAATATTTCGAAATTAGTGATGGATCTAAACAAACGTCAGTTTGTACAACGTTAATACTGACGGTCCGTAATGAAGCAAATTTTAATTAGCACTTCATTAGTGAGATCTTAAGTAAAATAGGATCATTAATCCTTAACTGACTAATTTGTGAAAGTAATACCACCATCGTTTTTACACTTTGCATACCTGAACTTCAAGTACACTCGATATATGGAAGCTTTTAAGTATACTCCAAACTGCAATTTAAACGAATGAGAGGACTCGTTTCCCCACAGCTGACCGTTCTCAACCAATGAAAAGCCCCCAAAGCCCCACGTGACTCATTGTCGTGCTACAGGAACTCAACCCGCCAGTATCCCTTCATCTCATGTGGCTCTAAATCTGAGCTGATCTAACCGGTCTACACGCGGCCATGAGAACAGGTTTATCGGGACAAAAGTCGCATGCAAACGTCAGTGAAGTAAGCAGATGTGAAATGAACTGGGCCCTTTATTCGGCCCCCGATACCGGAGATACCCCTACAATAGATAGGTTTTTGATGAGTAACTTTATATCGTTTCTCTAACAAAAGCCCCTTAACAATTCTCACTTGACTCCGTGTAATAGTTATACAATAGACGGCTTTTATTGCACATCTTTGCGGTACACACAGAGTTGAACTCTCCGGGATAAACTTCATGAGGTACGGATATTAGCTAGGATACAGCTCCATACACTCCCCTGGAGAATTATAACGTGGCAATCCGGCACCATACCAAAATCTAGACCAAATCATTCTTCTTTTCAGACAGTACCACAAGCACCATCCGAGAGAACTGTACAACTACCGGTCAAACAGGTGGTGTATTATGATGCTTGTTGGTGCTGCGTGATTAGTGGGACCCTGGTACAAGGTGGTCCTTCACCACCAGCAAACTGATCCATAATCGTAGAGGGCAATATTTTTGGAAGTGGCGCATGCTTCTACATAAAACTAAGCTAATGTTCTGAAAGTCCCTCTCTCTCTCCCTCTCTCTCCCTCTCTCTTCCTCTTCCTCTCTCTAAGAAGGTGCTGCAGGTGGTGTTGGCCAGCAAATGACGAAGTGAGCTCGCCCAGCACTCGTAATCACTAGAGGTGAGTGAGCAACCAATGGTGCTTCACACGGGGGAGACACCTGGCGACCCCTGATCATAGAGGACAGTCAAATGTGACCTTCAACTTAATCAGTATATTTAGTAGCATTTTTAGGGGGACTCATTAGGACAAGGGGAAATCGTACCGGGTAAATTGCGACACATGCACGTGCCGGCTTAATAGAATGAGGATTATTGGGAGAATGACTTGGTTTTAGGACCCGCATTGTGATTTGTGACAGCAGATAATAGTAATGACTAACTCATTGGATTAGTTTTGAGTTTCTAGAGTATATTCACACGTCATGATGTGAGTCACTAACAGGTACAGAGAAGGTGACAAGTCCGTTGCATCTTTTAATTGATGGGCCCTAAAGACCCGTATTAATGTCACTATATTTCCTGTTAGAACCGTACCCTGTCACGTGGGACGGTGTGGCTGTTTCATTGGTTTGTGGCAGGGAAATGAGCATGTTGGTTGGACAGAAAACATCATCACACCAGCAATTTGTTTTGGATAATTTTGACAAATGAGCTTTTTTCACTTTCCTAATGTCTTTAATCGTAATTTAAGGGTTCTTTTCGTTATTAGTTTTGGGATTTGCTGAGACAAGAAATAATCAAGTTTTCAAGATTTGACAGAACAGTAAAATTATTTTCAATAAACTAAAATATATAAACAAGTTCAATGTATCATATCTCAAATATATTCTCGCACGTGCAATACAGAGGAGAGAATGGATCACGTGACAATGCAAACGGTACCCCAAGGGTGCTCTCGAGTTCCAAGCCCGCTGGAAAATCACCACGCAACTCTCTTCACACATCTAATGCAACACGGGCCCGCTAATGGTTCTGAACATATCATGATTTTTTGAAAACTCAATTAAAAGTTATGATTGAAAATATAAATGGGGACTTGCGAGCACATGAAGCCAAGCTTTAGATATTAGAAATAACATCATCCCGAAATTCCAATAATATAGACATGTTCAATTTATTGTTTTCTTCCGAATTTCAGTAAACAAATATCTAAACGTAAGTAAGCATATATATCGAAAATTCTGAAAAAGCATTATTCACACTTTGGTGGTTCAACAGATTGTTACTGAATAGTAATCGAGATTGGTGGTAATTTCCACGTCATCATGAAAACTAATCAGTAGGTAAGGCAGTTGAATCCAAGACAGTTGCTTGATAACAGGACCGTTACCAACAACAGAGATCATGCAATTGTAAGGTGCACAAAACAAGTCTAAAATATATATACTGGAAAAGTAAGATCTAATCCCCAAAGGTTTAATACACACTCAGAAAAATCGACTTTAAAGGTTAAAATATTTTAGGTTAAAAGATTCGATCAGTTAAAATAGTTACTGGTTTCAGTGAGTCAATTTTTCTGAGATAGGCTAAAATAACTGATACCTAGATAAAATTTGTTACCTTATGTGGCAGTGTTACCAATTACCATGGTAACATAACCTTATATGGCAAAATTTGTTTATCACGCACCATCCAGAGCGTGAAATCTTCAAAATATCAATTCAAGAAATAAATAATAAATAACATTTCGCAACACAAATTACAAAAAAATCATCAATAAATATTCGTAAGATCAGTTCTGAAATCTCGGCACGTGACACTAACACACAAAAGCTCGCTCACACACAAAATTACCAGTCTCTCTCTCTCTCTCTCTCGCTTTCTCTCTGGAGAACGTGCCGGGAAGGTCGCTGCATCTCAACAATATATACAGTAAAAATCTACAAACTGCAGTCTGAGATCAGCAGTCTCTACAAGTGAGTGAGAGGCTGCATCGCGCCGCCGTTCATCAGGGTTGAGTCGGGGTGCATCATGCCGTAGTGGGTCGGATCTTGAGCCGTCAGGTACATGTTGATCATGTCTGTCAGGTCCCGCGGGCACTTGTCCGAGGAGCCGCCGATAGTAGGAGAGGAAATGGTCTGTTCTGTTTTGACGTGAGCTTCTGTCTTCACACCGCTGTGTTGAGCGGTCCTGTACATGGGAGAGGGGAGTTGCTGGCTGTAGGGGCTGGTGCACGTTGCAGGGCTCATGTACCCATGGTAGGGATTGGTTACGAACTCTGGATATCTGCTACCGATGTCTGATGTTGCGTACTGGACGGTGGGTCCTGCACTTCGCTGTAACGCTGCTTGGCTCTGGTAAGCTTCCATCATGGCTTTGTAGGTTGAGGTAGGGATGTAGCCAGTGTTTGTGGGGAGAGTGTTCTGCATCATCAGGGAGGATCGGTCCATCAGTAACCTACTGTCTGTCCCGACGGGACAAGGAACTCCGAATCTGTCCTTCTTCAGGGTGGCCTTAGCTTTCCTGCGAGGTCTGTATTTGTAGTCTGGGAATTCTTTCATGTGCAAGGCACGCAGTCTCTTTGCTTCTTCGATGAAAGGTTTTTTCTCGTCTTCCGTCAGCATTTTCCAGTCCATGCCAAGTCGCTTGCTGATCTCTGAGTTGTGCATCTTGGGGTTTTCCTGAGCCATCTTCCTTCTCTGTCCTCTGGACCAAACCATGAAAGCATTCATCGGTCGTTTTATCCTCTCAGTCTTCTCTTTGAGAGAGGATGATCCGGATGGCAGATGAGTGGTAGTAGAGGTTGGCATGGTGGAGGAAGGAGACGGAACTTGGTGGGGCAATGTTTGGATCACTGTGTTCAAGTTACCAAGGGTGGTAAGGCTGGCTGTGGAGTACCCGTGATGGGCAATACCATTTGACAAGTTCATCATTTTGTCAAGAGTTAAACAATAGGTCGGAAAAACAATCGACAAACGGTACAACACCTTTGAGAAATTCACTTGTATAGAAAGAACTTTACTATGCCTCGGCGCCTATCCAACGCGCTTTAGTATCGCTGTGTAGAATCACGTGATGAGGTCACGTGCACGCGCCACATGACTCACATGGTGAGCTCCACGCTAACTGCGTGATACAAGCGACGTTTCCAGCTGTCACGTGTCCTGGCAGCCGACCAATCAGGAGAGATGCGGAGTCACGTGATGCGCTGCGCTCTGCTCGCTCTCTGTGTGTGAGCTCGATCCGGGTTATGAGGGTGGGAGAGCAAGCCTTCATCCGACACCTGAAACATTGAACATTTTCAGACATCGTCAACCTCAAGTCTCCTACCTGGACCAGACTACGAGAAATGAGGGATTTGCCGAATTTGCGATCGGTTTACACGTAAAATAACGGTGCAAAGGTTAGATAATCGGTGACGATAATTTTGTATATCACACAGAAACATTGACAGTTGAACGTTTTATACACACATACTATCAACAAATGAATCAAGCACAAGAGAGAACATAGGGCAGGCAGACACAGAGACAACATGGGATTCTCAAATCTCCATCATGATTCATCAGGGTAACTTAAAAAAGAAAAACTGCGGGCTTAAGTTTGACATTTAAGCAAAATGACCATCTGAACTGCAGTACTACAAACACTGGCAACTCTCGTAACAACAACAACCGGGCCCCCGGAAACTCTAAAACATCAACAAAATACAACTAAGTGTGGTAGTCTCTGGTTTACAACCTCACATAAAACGAGGAGCGGAGAACATTCACGTTGTTCCTTCCTCCTTACAAAGGCCTGAGAATTGAAAGTAGAAATGGCCGTGCAAAACCAGGAGCAGAGAAAGTAGAAATGGTCGTATCGCAGACAATGCCCTAGAATCTCCAAGAGCGGAGGGAAGAGTATTCTCCAGTACACAATGGGAGTTTACAGAGTTACTTTCTTTGTTAGCATAGTCCAACACAATACGATTTTCGAAGCCAGAGAGTAACTGTTTGAATGGCCGTGAGTCTATTGTAGGATAAGACAATGCGATTCTAGCGATGTTGAATAGGACTTAGGACAATAAACTCCAGAACCATACAATACTCTATAAGATATGGTATACAATATACTGAATAGTTCAATAATACTACATACTATCTTCAATAGGGATCATAACAAAGATACAATGAACTCTTCAATAAAGAGAGGATGTAGCCTACTTTTCTATACTTGACAAGGATGTCTCCTTGCTCTTTGATGTACGGCATTGCCACGTTGTTATTCAACCGTGTGCTTGTAGCTCTTGCTTGTAGCTCTTGATTCAAGTTCTTGCTTGTATTCCTTCCCTTCGATATTCCACTAGAGATTTATGGTCATTGAACCAAACAAATTGTCAACAGTTATGATTAATCTGCTACTTACATTCTGTAGCACTGTATCACAGCCGCTGTTTGATACATTGGCCACTGTGGTGTGGCTCTGTTCCCACCACAAGTGATTGTTGTCAATCATAAAATAAAATTAGCCCCACCTATCTTCAATTAAAATGCTTTATCCTCTCTTAAGAACCCGATTCAAAGAGCTACTCCCTATTTTAATGCTCTAGATCTGCGACCCACGCTCTGGTACAAAGAGTTACCACAAGATATTATCCCTCACACCAAAGGGATACCCCATTAGTTCCATATGACAGGGCCTATTAACGGGACACGTTAATTGTTTACTATAAGAGATGTTTACCTCATGTCACTTATCACACGCCCAATGTTGGCCGAAGTGTCCTCTCTCCTAATGAGGATTTTGTGCGGACGTTGTCCCTGATGACAAGCAGATATCCCAGCGCACTTGTCAGTCTAATAAACTCCAATCACCCCCAAATTAAACCCAATGATCCTGTTTGCCAAACAATGGCTATTGGCAAGCAGTTTATTGGGTGAGAGGTTCAGTGTCAGACTACTGATCAGTACGGAGACATTGGTTCTGAGTTGGTAAATACAGGGCTCACTCTCTCATCATGATAGGTGCACCGCCGGGCAGTGCTCTTTGTTCAGACTGACAGGGGGCATGAATCATTTGACAGGGTTCATAGTCTGTCCCTGACAGGCTCTTTATATTAGGCTTCACCTGAAGCCTTTCTAGTGGGGATTGAACAAGCAGTGGTCTGATTAGTTTGGTTGGAATTTGTCCCTGAGGGAGTTCAGAGCATGTTTCATCAGCTGGGTTCTAAAACCTTTCAATCGATGGCAATCTAGACTTTATCATTTATCACCTGGCAAATATTTACTAATAAGCTTAACTAAAAATTAGATTGCCCTGAACTTGTTAGTCATAATAATTGTTCCATTCCATCTATTGAAACCCAAAATAGATTCATTAACAATTTCAATCCTGGATCTTGCGGGTAGAATTACTCAGATAACCACTAACCAGACGGTTTTTCCACGGTAACAACAGTTCCCAACCCCTGGATCACACCCATCTGACCCGACCCCTCAACATACTTCAACCTGGTTACACACTCACATCCGGACAGAAAGGGGGCTCCTTTTTGTGCCGGAGATTTGGTCACCTGACACTTGTTTGTCTCACTAACAAAGGCTCTTTATTAGCCTTACAATGGGTTGTCACGTGTGTTTTCTCACTTTGTAAGGACGTAGGTGCCTCTAGTTTAAAGTATTCAAGGACAATGGTCGTGGAATGTACCTGTAGGAGATGTCAGACTGGATCCCAGGTACCTTTAAGTTTATTGAGGTGTCGTTGCTAGGACACTCTAAACTAACTGCTGGATAACTATGAAATAAATTTAACAAATATAAGTTGATTGTACTACTAACAATCAATAATTGTGGAGTTACTGGTTTATTTAAACCTCATTCATATATCTAGGCTGTTAACCGAACTCTTCTGGATCTAAGTCAATAGTACAATTAGATCCAATAATTGTACAGTCAATAATTATAACCGGTAAACCGGCCACCACGAAACAATTCATTCTCATTAAAAGTAGCGACAACATGGTTTGTTGTGGCCCCACACACACTCGGATAGAGATAAAACAATGTTGACCGATGTTGGAAAATATTGATACATTACCACTGTAGGAGAAGCCCACACGCTCTGACCACCTATCCCGTATACTTGGCGCTACTGTGAGCAGTGGGGGATAATTATTAGAAATTAGTGATCTGATGAGGTGTGTATGGGAAAGGGATATTTCTCCTGGATCACACTGGTTAGCAACCCTCGTATAAGGTGGTATACTACCAAGATTGCGGGGTGTCATGGTGAGAGAAGGGAGAATGAGTGGGTTTTACCCTGGGGGCTCCTGATCACACTTAACAATTTAAACTAGCGGATACAAATGCACTTCTAATCGGGCCGGCACACGCCACTGTTAATCACTCAAATCTCTCACTAGGAGGAAAAAGACGTGAGGAAATTCATTAATTTTAGGGCTTAGACTGATTGGGTGCTGCACGATACATATTAATTGGTAGATTGAAACAAGCGGTATATTTTTTGATTTGACACATTTGCTGATGAGATTTGTGTTTTAGTGGATATGGTATGTATCCTCACGGGACGGAGGTGGAGATATGGATCTAGTTAATGGTTCAACATTGAAAACCTAAAATGTGGTTAATTGGTAGTTTACATTGGTAATTAATAGGGTGCAAATTGAATGGTGTACTTTGCTAGATATGTACTGACCCAATTAGTGCTAATGAAGCATTGGATAATATCTAAAGGTTTGAAAAGAATGATAACAGTCACCAGGCTCTACCATATAAGGTAATGTTACCATGGCAACAATCCTGTGTGTGGTGATAAAATCATTTTCAGCTTTCTATTTCATCTGGATGTACACCGAAAGGCACGCCTGTGAAATCATAAAATCTATCAGAGTGCATACAGTTTGGAGTTCATAGTGGTTCCGATCAACAAGTATAGAACAAAGTACATGTTATCATGCTGCTGAATCTGATGCAAGGCCTGGATTTGAATCTTATAGTGGGAGGATCACTGATGTGTAAAAATAGAAAAATTGAGTAAAAATAGAGAGCTCTTCATGCAAGCTGAGGATGGGGCTCGAACAAGAAGCTACAAATGGAATAACGGCCTCATTGTGGTCAGAGTAGTGGTCAGGTCACACTTTCCAACAGTTGCAAAACCTGACCACGTATTATTATAAGCTGGAGATGATGATTTCAGAAAACAGGCGTAAGGAGGCGAGAGATTGCACGTGAAATGAGGAGATGTAGTAAAAATAAGAGGGATTTGAGGTTAAAACTTAAAGAGGCTATTTAGGTAGTCAGAATTTGGGTTAGATTAATTAAGGAATAAAAGATTAATTTAGCAAATTAACTCACCCGCAAATCCGAGAAGAGTGAAAGGAAGAACTGCCGTCCATACACAGCGAACACGGTCCTACCTTCCGACATGCACAAATCTGAAAAATTCAGGGAGTTGAGTTTTATTGCAACATTATTTAAAGTTTGGCTGGTTTTGTTTAAAGTGCAGGAAACTGTGCAAATGTTGATCATGGAAAACGTGTAAATTAGCCATCTTATTCTTACCACTAGGACTGATGGTTTTCTGATTGCTTTTTACTCGGATCTCAATATTTCCATGGTCGATGGCGGTTTTACCTCATGAGAGTTCCCCGATATTACACATTATTTCTAACGAACAAGCCACATTTCTGACGTCATTAACAGCCCCGTTAAGTCTTTGTTCTTCTGCTGAAAATAATTTCTAGTGTCTGTAGTTTGAAACAGTTGGTTAATTACAAAAATTACAAACGGTTATATCGACTCTTGAGGCAACAATCGGCGGCGAAGGTCGCTTACTTCATGCTTTATTTATGACTAACAAACCATGAAAATTCGCACCCAAAACTTAAACTGAAGCATGATATCACACCCATGCACTGTCACATGACTCAATCTACATTCTACACCTAACAGCTCGTCAAGGAACACGTGACCAGGATCTCGGAATTCTCAGACTTGATAAGTGAGTTATAGAGGTGGATGTTAGCAGACAGGGGCAGATAGGGGAGAAGTGGAGACTGTTAACAGTTCCACAGGTGACACCACCCCTTAGGGAACTTACCCAGCGTGACTGAGGGGAATTTACTCCACCTCCAATTCCATGCCGGTTACCACCATTAAAACAGAGAATATTTGAAATATTTTGAGCCATGTCTCTTATTTTGAGCTGGTCAATACAGTTGATTAGGAGCACAATGGACGGTCTATTATATACGGAACACAATATTCTACATTAGCGTGTGAGTTACACGACTCTAGTCAACTCACCAGCTGTTTTTGGGGACCAGCCTTAATGCGATTTCTACCTTTTCTTCTCCTCATCTCGCGAAATATATCGACTCATGATTTCCGAAGGGACTGTTAATTGGATTAAACAGCTGCAATTTCGTGGAGTGGCTCTTTGTGGAGTGGCACAAACAAAAGTTTTACCAACTAAGCGGCTAGTATTGGTGGTCCCAACTGTACTGTACAATAATTACGATAAATTTACAGCTGATTAAAAGCATTTGTGTGTGCTGCAGAGATTCAAGGAGGGAGGGCGGGAGTAGAATTATTCAACTCTTGAATTACTATTGGTTATTCATCACATCAGAAACTTTGCAACAGAGTCTCTAATCCTACCAACTACTAGCCCACACAATGAATTTGAATGTGTGTAAATATTAGCTCCTCATCATCCACCTATACTAACTTCTCTTTGAGAGGCTGTACAAACTACAGACACTAGAAATTATTTTACAGAGATACAGCACTGTCCCTTCTTTTGAATTTTCTAATATCCCTGTTCAAGAATCAATCTCACATAATAAGCTCTGAGCACCACCAGATAGAGCGGATACAATAGAGACAATAGCTTGTGTCTGTCCCTCGCGAACAAAGGGCTGTATAAACACATGCTGCTTCATTTCAATATGCTACAGCCATATTCATAGAGCGCCGAAGTAGAGCATGAATTTGTCGATCTCGTCAGCACGAGAAGCAGCATCGTCTCCAATATCTGACATGTTGGTGGACGAGTCAGCTTGTTGAGCGAGTTAAAGACTTGCTTATCATTACCGTAATGCTTGTTATCAGTGAGGGCGTGATCAGTTCACGGTTGGAGATCTCGCGTCAGATCGGACGCAGTGAATGGTGGGAATTACAGTTTAACTCTTGATGTTTTTTTAATTATCTACTGCTTGTAGGCGGTACAAGACGCTGGTGGAGGGGCCGTTTTAAAGTTGTGTCTCTTGTGCAGGTTAAACCACTAGTCTATATCACACGGTAGAATGCTTGTGAAGTGTGTGGTAGTGAGGTTTAGTCTGCAGAACAGACAGAAAGTAAGAGGTGCTTCTATCTCACTCTCCTTTTCACATAGTGTTATCTATCTAACATCTAGCAACTAGCCGCCTCCCCCATCTCACCGAGTTAATACACATGAATATTGAGATCTCTGAACATGGTGGTGTAGCTGTGTGTAGATTTAGCCGAGGAAGAAGCCAGCAAAACTTGCTTCCCTGGCTCTGGAGAGATCCAAGACGTGTTGCCGCGCTCCATAACCTGAGAACCGTTTAAGTGCCAGATAAACGGTCCGCTATTATGGGTAGAGATAGTAGGGCCGGGTTGATCTCACCACTATGAATTGTCACTTAGGTCATTAACTGGAGCAAACGGGCCATTTAACCGGCCAGCTTGTGGTTAACAAGCGAAGCAAGCTTTATCAATAATCGATTGGCGATACTCTGTAGCCGTGTTTATAGTTGCGTTAAAAACATGTGGAGCGGAACACGTGACTCGTGATCAGGCAAAAACTTGGGGGCTAGATAAGAACTATAATTGTAGGGAGGGGACGTTTAGAGGTTGTTCCAACTAACCAGTTGGCACGGAGACGGACCGATTGATTTGGTTCCTGTCTTAATCCGGGTAAGATCAAGCCAGGGGACGCCTTGGAAGACTGGTACCCTGGCTGCACCTAGCATTCACCTACCGGTTCAACAACATCTTGCCGCCCTGAAACCATGATTTGAAAACATTGGGGATAGTTTTGGAATACTTAGCGATCATCATTACAGCGTACAGGGTACCTCTAGTCCCTGCTAGCTCCCCTGTTACTTTTCACATGTCTCCTAACCATGTGGACTCGAAGTGAGTTGTAGAACCTGATTTTAAGGATCTCCGGTTTCAGAACTTGCGAGACAATGGAACATTTCTCTACCCTTACCCTCTTCCCCCTATCGTATCTCATGAAAGTTTCGCACAACCGTGTCAATGATAGTGGATAGAAACTTAAGCCGCCATTCTGGCGGTAGCCATAGGTTTCCATTCTTTCAACAAAAGGCACATCAACCCTTAGATTAGTCTTATAATCACAGTTTATATATGGCAGCTAAACTCCATAACCCGGTAGAAAACGAAGTTTAAATAGAGCTGGCGTTGTGTTGGCCTGTTCCCTGACTACTGATTATTCCGTGAACTTTGACACACGCGGACTGCTGCCCGCCAAAATAATTGTCCGTCCATTGTGCTCGTGTGACAAGAAGGGTATAATTCGGGAGAGAGAAAGGGGGTTGAATGGCGGGCTTGGAGGGGGAGCTACAGGATATTTGTTCTTTATTTCGACCCTTAAGATAGGGGGAGGGAAGGATGAGGACGTTTAAAACAACGTCTCACGTGTCCACACAAAAGAAGGAGAGCTCCTGTCAAAACAATTGGATTTGAATAAACCATGATTAGACAGGCTTGTTAGGCAAAGTCAGAATTCACCGGTTGATATGCCCCAAAGTCATTCGCCCGAAAGAAATCACGTGGGCTATTCAAGCAATTTCATTGGTCCACTTGCTGTCTGTGATACAGCCTTTCATTTTTTTACGGTTTCCGTTCAGAAGGGCTAATTACATATAGGTGGTCTCAGGGAGGAGGGGGAAGGGAGGAGTTAATGCGTCAGATACCCGCCCGGGCTCGTGAGGACAAGAATGTAGTTGAAACATTTTAAGAACACATGTGTAGTGTAGAGAGAGTGTTACCATTGTTTGGGAGCTCACGGTCAGTCCACTTGGAATTAACAGGACCGTAAGCTAGACGCTGATTGACCACATCGACTAATGTGGGAGGGGATGTTAATGTATTATTATAACCTGTAGTAGAGGTAGATTCTAGCTAATATAAACGAACACGACATTATTCTTAGTCTAAATTCAGACTTTAGAGCGAGGCTCTATAATTTTACCGGGGATGTGAGGATGGGTAGACCACGGTCTAAAATTTTAGACGGTCAACATCTTAATATGTACTAAATTACTAGATAATTTTGAATTATACGAACCTTCGCGGCGTATGGAACTCTAGATTGAGTTCATGAGACAAGATGGTCGGTATGACAGTGTTAGAGACATCTACATACCTTTCTGTAATTTGTCGAGCTATAACATTGATTCCACATCAAGGTCCAATCAGCTGAAGAGCTATTTTTCCATTTTGTCACAACTTCCAGTTCCATAACCGTCTATCCTAAGTAAAGTGAAATTTGATGAGATTTAATTTTACAACAAAAGATAAATTAAGACAAAGAAGGATCCCACAAAGTAAGGTATTTTATTAATTGGGGGATGGAAGATAAGAATTGTGCAAATCTAACAGTTTTAACAAGAATGTGTAATCGAAGGTTTGGTGGAATTTTGAGTCAAAAATAGAAAATTGTATCAGTTTAGGTCTGCATAGTGCATATAGCATAAGCGATCTCTTCTCTAAACTTTGCAATAATTGCATCAGCTGTTATGATAGGTGGTCTTTAAAATCTCATAGTACATAAAACACGTACGTCTCAAGACTAATCTGCATGATTTATTGATATCTTGTCAGTTTTTAAGTTTCGACCAGACATTTAATATGTAATTCTCCACCGATCAGCACAATTCCGAAAAATGTAGCTTAATTAAGTTGGCCTAGAATTAAATAAGAAATTTGTTTTGTGAACGATTCTAAAATAGAAACATCTTACTATATTTATATAACAATAAGTTTAGATTAGAATATATTTCGTGAATATGTCTTTATCAACTGTCAGGTTCGCAGAACTTAACTATTTATTTTTCGTGTAAAAATAATGTTTCATATTGTACGAGCAAACTTATGAGTTCCTCCGTGGGGCACATATCTAGTAGAGAGCGCACTCGGCGACATCAAATAGCCCCTGCCCTTTTTGGGAATAAGTGGCCAATGAAAACATTTATGGTGTGCAGAAAAGAAGGACTACCAAACTCGTACCACATGGCTAGGGGCCCTTTTATTGTGAGAAAATTGCATACGTCGTAGAAGCTGAAATCAAAATCTAACAGCAGTGGAAGATAAAATTACCAAAAACATAGATCGAAGAGAAACCAAAAAATGAACCTTTCTTTGCACAAAAAGAAAGATATATATAAACCGAATTAAGTCCCTGAACTATCATCCTGCAAATGATCAGGTAAGCAAGAGAAAGAACAGCGCTCCCTGACCATTCAAGTCTCAATAGAAGCTCAGACAAAAGCTGAAAGGAGTGTCCTCAAAGAGCTTAACTCATACATAGATTAAGAATAGACGGACTATAATAGATAAACGAGATAAGTGATCAATTGATCAAGATTCAAGAGATGAACGAACTAGCCCAGACAATACTGTAACTGCACGATCATCAAACACAGAAACCACCACAAACACAGAGTCCTAAACTACACAATACTGAGCTCCATTCTCTCTCGAAGCTCGAGCGAGAGATACATCTTTTCTACCATCACCTTTCTTTGTATTAGATTAACACGTAAGTCCCTCTGGACACAATACCCTGAGCTCGGGTCATACAAAGACTGCATTGTGCCCAAACTTATTCATCACTCGAGTCATATTGTGTTGTCCAACAATACACCAGCTATAGCGGTCCCCACTATAACTTCATAAAGTTCATTGTCAGCAGCCCATCTATACTACCCTGGTCTCTCTCCAAACCTTTGTTTTATCTTTCAAGCTTCGCTAATTGAATCGTCCCGGACTCCGGCGATTGTTCTCAATTTTAAACAGCTGATTTTGAAGGGAGTTCCGCAGAGTTAGTTGTAACTCAGGGACACGGTTGAGCCCTCAGTAGGGACTCTTTTGTTTTAGAATTAGAGCCAGTGAGTAGAATACTTAGTATTTTGTTAGGTCGATAATAAGAAATAAGAAACAGCTGATGGTACAATATAACATTGTCTAGCCAAACACTTGCATTATTCATGATATTTAATATGTTAATACAGTGTTCGTGTTCCCTTGCCTTGCTATCTTCAGTAATTTGTTTGAAAAATAAGCACGGTAAATATTAAATAGTACCAGGTAATAATGCATAATTGGTTAAATAATTCTTAACCCATTAGGGACGATAGGGTCGTTTTTATGACCCACCTTTTCTAGACGAAAAACCAAATTACTAAACGCTATAACGAATCTATAGCATATATGCTCAAAATTTATTGGGCTACGTATAATGAAGCCCAATAAATTTTGAGTATATATGCTATAGATTCGTTATAGCGTTTAGTAATTTGGTTTTTCGTCTAGAAAAGGTGGGTCATAAAAACGACCCTATCGTCCCTAATGGGTTAAAGTTAAATTATTCGAAAATTTCTTACTTACAATTTTGCGATTTACTTTATACAATCTCTAAGGGAATTTAAGCAATTACAGTTGAGTGGAGACTCGAAAACCTAATTTGTTAATTTGTTTAATATTTCATCGCCATATTTACACATTATATTGCGAAAATATTATTTTGTGACACGTAAACATAATCGATGCACCCTGAACCGTGTTTCCGAATTCTTAACTTTAAGCACCATATAACGACAAAACTATGTTACGATATGCAATTATTCTAATCTAAGTTTGATTTATCCATTTAATTTTATTTGGTTTAATCGTCCCATAATCATATATAAATTTATTATTTATCTAATACTTAGAATTGGAGCAACATACTGTTATCTTTGCGGCAGCACATCATCCAAATAGTAATAGGTACTGCTATCAGGAGGCAGATGCAATCTAGTTCGGCTAATTGATCAAAATAAGTTCTCAATCCTCATCCGTAAATTGTAGTACAATAACTTTATCGTTTACCATATGTCCTTTAATTTCATTTGTTACAGTAATAGTACTCATTATTTTGAAGCTTGATGTACAATTTACTCATTCTCATTTCCAGGTCTGCAACTTCTAATATCCTCAACTTCCTAATATAATCATTCTGACTTCTCCCTCATCCGCAATTTTCCTCCGATCCACTATTAAAATGTTCAAATCACAATAATTCAAGTATCTTCATCGCTCTAAAAAAGACTCGCCTCAAACGTGTGCTGAGTTACCAATCCTTACACACACTAAATAATAACATTGTCCAGTCCACCATGTCTAACTCTTGTAATTACCGTACACCCACAAACTTCGTGGCACCTCCCAAGATAATAGAAAATTAGGAATTTCTCTCCGCACTTAACCAACTGTATTAATTCTCTCTAACTTTTAGACCTTCATCACTGCCGCATTAAATTTTGATAAATGTTCTACACGTAGCCACAATGTCCACGCTAATTTAAGGCCCTGGACAAGTGTTGGTCTATTATATCGCTTTCTCTTTGACCCATCTATTCTCCACCGTTTAGACCCCGGCACACTTATCGAGACGGAAACATGGGTCCCCAACTTGTTTTTGGGCCCTATAATTCCCTATTTTAGCGGTTTACCGTCAGTATATAATGCCCTGTAAACTCCCTCTAATCCAGGCTCATGACGAACTGCTAGGCAGTGTATAATACCCTAATATTACGATAATTCACAATTTGCTAATTCGTGATTTATGGTATACAAAGCAAGCAGAGGAGCGCAACTCATTGGCCGAGCAGCTTGTATCACGTGATGCAAGGTCAGGTGGTAGCCTGGAGATCCAGTAGAGAGTTGGCGGTTAGCTAACAACTTGGTGTTCTGTTTAAATCAGTGGAGAGAGAGAGAGAGGGGGAGAGAGAGAGAGGGATAGAGAGAGAGAGAGAGAGAGAGAGAGAGAGAGAGAGAGAGAGAGAGAGAGAGAGAGAGAGAGAGAGAGGGAGGGGAGGGAGCCCCAGTCTCCACGTCCCTGGTGTACAATGCTAAAAGTAGGGGCAAGGTGCATGCACCAACCCATCCACAGCTCATTCTTCTCCAAAAAAGGAGCGGGAATGTATTATAAATTATGCAAAATACTTTTAAACGGCCCGGGCAAGCCGAGTTTTACTTGTGTAATTGGGCAGCTTATTTGCATCTCAAAGACCCATGTCGTATTACTGTACCCATTTGGCCAGCACAAATGCAGATGGTTCTAAGCAGAAGGTAAGCGGTTATTCAGGAAACTAAGCCTGGGGGTGGTAATGTTTATCGGGAAACGGGGCGCATCGCCCAGAAACCTTTCTCCGGAGATGTGGTGATCAGTAGGCTATTGTCAAATAATCAAGTAATTTCACTACTAAGTCCATCCTTTCAACTTGACCTGAAGGCGGAGCAAGCTAGATCATGTCCCCCTAATAACTAGTAATTACTTACTGTAACTGAAAGCTTGCTTTTAAGGGCCCAACTCTTTGAGTTAATCGCCTGTGAAGCGGTTGTTTTGCAAAGCCAAGAAGGGCTTAATAGCATTGTATGGGCTACAAATAGACAGCAACTTATTGACAAATTTAGGGGTTAACAGGGATTTATACGTGGTTAAATCGCTATTTCTATCAATTAGCTTTGTTAGTGTAGATCCAGGCAGATGCACCCAGATTGCCCCCGCTCAATCAACAGCGATAAATGATATCGATATGGGAAAAGGGCCATTGTACTTTGAGGAGTTCCAGAAAATGTTCTTGGCGCAGTATTGGTAACATACTCCGTGTTATAGTTTAAAATTAAAGTATCATGTCCGCACCACATCGCTGCAAACCACACATGAGAACATTGAGGCAAAAAAACTGTTCGATGTGATAGGGTATAATGTAATTGGGGCTGATGTGGCATTGGCTGATGGATGAAATTAGTGTAAATTAAGGAAAGCTGTACTATTTGATTGGAAAGGTGCAAATCTAAGTAGTTTAATGGACGAGATATTATAACTGAGGTGAAAATCATTAAATGAAATTGATCCTTGTTGAGTGAATTGGGATTTAACACATTAACAAAGCTAAACAAAACTACGACTAGTAATCGAAGTTACAGATATTGGATAGGATAAAATATAGGACCAAAGCCCTAGAGCAAAAACAAAAGGTTGAACGAACTGTAAAATACCGCCACCAGGGAATAAACTATAGGTAGAACGAGAAATATAGGACAGAAGCTAAAGAGATGGCTGATAACAAGGCCATACAAACCGATAGGGCCTTTACTGAACAATACATCTACACCACAATGGATGTTAACTGTCAGGAAGATATATTATTCAAGAGACCCTTTATCCCTTACAATGGCAAGAGATTCTTCATTAAACAAACTCGGG